TTTGTCTCAACCTTCTTTAGGCAGTGATTTTTTATCTATCTGCAGTATACAGACAACTTATGATGGACCCCAGATTCTTATGTGACCTAATAGGGACTAGGTTATATTGTTTCAATATGATACCTTTCAGTAGTCATATCTAATTAAAGATATATATCTTCCATTATCCAAAAAGCCAAATTCCCCAATAATTCTTTTGCCTTGTAATGGTGGGAGGTTCACAAGAGTGGTAGAGATCCTCATTGATTACGATATCCTTTAACAACTTTTGGGAAAATGCATTCTCAACTGTAATCAAAGGGTTGGAACTTAGCATAAACTAGAGACCATTTGGTCTTATTGCCTGACCAGGATAAAAGGAAGATCTTGGTCTTGAACTTTGCCTGACTGGAATGATAGGAGAGAAAGACCTCAGCTTGAACAAATAACAGCTTTTTCACCACTTGGGGACTTGTTGTTTGTATCTTATTGGCCTCATGGTACTTTATTTGTAGATTAACTCAATTGGAGAAGTGGAGTGGATGTGAGACACCAATCAACTTTTTTTGTCACCAATGACATTATTGAAACATATAAGGTAACCAATAGGAGCTTGTTTACATTCTGTTACTAACGTGTTTTGTGTTAACCAATCAGATACCAGGTGACATTGTGCTATCAAAAATTCAAGATCAAACTGAAGTAAACAAAATCCCTCAAGAAAACCATGAAAAATAGTAGATACTTAAAGAAAATATAAAACAATATGTGAGAAGGTAGATAATAAGCCTTTCTCTGCCAACAGAACCTCTATTGTTATCACTTCTAGCTCTGTAAGGTGATACTCCACTTGTCAATTCTTTTACTTCCTAGAACCTTCTTGTCCTTAGTAGAGAAAGTGCGTATTTGAGTCTTTTCAGGCCACTAGAGGCTCAAGTTTTTATTCAAAAGAGTTTATAAACAAGTAAGGGAAGGTAAAAAAGATACATGAAGATAAGCTTCAAGTAGTTTTAATAAAAGTATAAAGACTTTATTAACAAAGAAGTATAAAACTTCTTACGAATATCTTTTTTTGTTTGTGGTCAGAGAATTAACGGAAAGAGTTTTAAAAAAAGTTAATATATAATATAATATAGTATCTAATTCTGAATTATAATATAATATAACAAATAATAGTATAATATTGTATACAGTTCCAAATTGTATTAAACAATACAAATAATTTTATTTAAATATCTTTTTATTAATTTAATATTTTTTATCAATACCTAAAATGTTTGAATAAAAAAAACCAACTGAACACACTTTTTACAGAGAATAGCTATCTTCATTTTTACAATTTTTATAACTTTTCCTGCTATTGCAAACTTCCTTCACATCAAATACATCAGAAGTAGCAATAGTTCATTCAGTAACACCTGATACCAAATCTTTAATTCTTATTATAATATCCAAATTGCTTAGAAAAAAGTCATCTATTGTATAGTCTAAAATATTGGCATTTTAAGTTGCATAAATATCAATTTCAAAAGTTGAATTGCCTCCTGAAACTCGAATCAGGAAGGATATTGAAAAAGATTAGAATTAAATTATTGCTAAATTATTAAAATTTATCTTTATTAATCAAATAATTTATTTAGAAAATAAAAAATTATGCATAGATTAAAAAACTAAAAAGAGAAAATATTGAATTTGTAAAACAATTTGTTCTAATGAAATATATTAACAACAAATTTTCTAAAGAATCAAAATAGTAAAAAAATAAAATAAAGAATTTAAAAAAGAAAATTGATCTGCTCAAATCTGTGAAACTTAAACTTGATAATATAGTTGTTGTAAAATCTAAAGCAACTGATATATCAAAATCCAAAAGTTTGCTAAGTTTATAAAAGCATTGAAGAATTCAATCTAGGAGAAGTAGTAAAGAAGTAAAACTGGTAAACCTGATTACTGATGATGAATTGAAACTAGAAGAAGCAAAAGCAAAAATAAAGGCCTTAATGAAAACCATTTTTGATGAATATAAACTGAGAATAAATAAAGTTTTTTCGAATGATGTAAATAAAAAAATATTATAAAATTTGATACTTGAATCAATAAAATCTATGGCCCCATATTTAATTCCTTATAAAAAAAATTAAACAAATGGTTAGACACTTTACATTGCCATTAGAAAAGAAAATATTAGAAGGTAGAAACTAGAAAACTGAAAGTGAACAATCATCGCTTACATGCAAATAGCTGATTAAACAAAGTAAGATTAATAATATTCTGTATTTATACTATCTTCAAATATTAATTTTTAATAAATAATTAAGAAAAGATATAAAGAATTAAAAATATATAGTCACTTGTTGAATAAAAATCAAAGAAAGTTATCAAATATTGAAATGAATTAACTGATATAATTAAAGAAACAAAAATGTATTCACCTGAAAAAAATGAGATTAATCTAGAAAACCCTACTAAAAAAAGAATAAATATATATGATTACAGTTGATATTTTAAAGAGATATTTTTTAGCAAAATATTTTATGCTGAACAATTATAATATTAATTATAATATAATTACTTATAATCAAAGAATTTGTTGAAATATTTGGATGAATATTTGAAATCAATTCAAGTATTTCAACTGATCAATAAATAATATTTTGATGATTCATATTTCTATGATATAATGTTATCAGAAAACTTGCTGAATTAAATATATAGTTTGAAAAAAATTTTGAAACATGAACAGAAAACAAGATAGAAAAAGGTAAAAAAAATCAATAGTTAAATCCAAAAGATAAAAAATTATCAAATATGAGAAATCATTAATATATTCAGAGGGTAAGGAATAAACTGGAAAAAATGCACAAATGAATAAAATTCAGACAGTTAGATTAGAAGAAAAAAGTGAAAAATCCCAGAAAACATTTAACAAAGTAAAATTAATTGAACTAGTTTTAAAAGAATCAAGTTGAGATCTTTAAAGGAAAAAAAAAAGCAAGTAAAAAAAGAAAAAGAGGAGAAAGAGGAGGAAGAGAAAAATAATAAATAATTTAGTCAACTGATTTTATAATTTTTTAATAACTTTCATGAAATTTGAATTTTTTGTCACAATAATTTTTTTGTCAAATTTTTTACCAAATTTTTTTTTACAGTAATTACTTTGCCGAATTTTTTGCCACAGTAATTTTTTTATTAAATTTTTACTACAGTATCAATTTTTTTGTCAAATTTTTTGCTGTAGTATCAATTTTTTTGCTGAATTTGTTTGCCACAATATCAATTTTTTTGCTAAATTTTTTATTGCAATATGAAAAAATTTTTTTTGCCACAGTAAATAAAAATTTTTTTTTTGTCACATTATATCAAATTATGTATTAAATTTTTTTTCATAGTATGCCAATATTTTTTATCAATTTTATTGATATTTTTAATGTCAAGTAGTAACAATCATAAATAATTCGTCAATCTTTTTATTATTAATTTTTATCAAATTCAGCAATAATTTGATAGCTGAATAATATAATTTCAACTAGTAATTATTATCTATTTTTTATTTTTGTTGATAAAAAATAGACTTGATAAATATAAAGTTTATTTTTTATTATTATAAAGTTAACTTCAATTATGTGACCTTTTATTCTTTTAATAGATTCAAGTCTCTTTTTGATGTTTTTACTGATTAAAAGTTCCATATCAAATTTTCTGAAACTTTTACTATTATTATTATGAAAGAACTTATGTGTTTATTATAAGTTAAAGATAAAATTGACTACTTATCTGACTAATTTTATTTCACTAATACCTAGGATATCAATATCAAGTTTTCTATATAATCTTTGTTAATCTAAACTAGTATTAATATATCTAATATTATGCATTTCAATAGTTATAATATCACTTATTGTGGAAATATCTAAAGTATACTTATTATATAGGCTGTGCTCATTTTCTAATTTTTTAATTGTATTGTTTTTTATTGTACTAATGAGATCATTGAGTAATGTATTAAAAGTATTATTAGAGAGGGTTGTATTGATATTTGATGGTACTGTTATCTTTGCACCTTTTCTCCAGAATGAGCTTGATTCCTCCTGAGGGTCTGGCTCAATCCTGATATACCATGAGGTGCTACTTCTAGGAGTGATTGAAATTGTACATAATTCATATCATTTAAAGGTTTAGAAAAAAAGACTTTAATTAAAAGAATAAGTCCTAAGTAACTAGGAATCAAAACAAAAAAGAAGCAGCAATGAGAAGTCTAAAATACTAATTTTGTTAATCAAATTCGATAAATACTGTAAAAATAGTTTTATTTTATTGTGAATGAATTTATCACGAAATCGCAATTATGAATTTAAAAAGTAAAAATAAGTCAATGCATTATTATCCTTTTTCAAATAAAATAAATAAAATTTTATTTACAATGGTAATACTGTATTTAATATTATATACTGGGAGAAAATAATACAAAATACTCGAAGGAATTACTTGAAACGTAATAAAAAAAAAAAAAAAAGGAAAGATAATCGTATCAATTATTTGAACATACACTGTGTAAATCAAATGACGGACAAAAATATTAAATTAATAAATATCAGTTTTCTTTTTTTTTTTTTTTTTCTTTTCGAATAACCCAAATTTACAAGTGTAGTGTCGCTTAGAAGCGCCACGTTGATTAAATTTACATTTTTTATTTACTATGTACAAAAGCTCCTGAACTTTCGTAGAAACGTAAGGAAAAATTTAGCTATTACTATATAATAATCCCATTAGCTTCTAATGAACAATAAGAAAAACGAATTTATTTTTTTTTAACTCGAAGCAAATGCCAAAAAAAAAAAAAAAAAAAATTAGCATTGCCGATCAGCTGGGCTCGGTAATGACTACACAGCTGGAGAAACTAATGAAGCATTAAAATTATCATACTTTTTAAAAAAGAATATTGAGAAGATGGTTGTGTGTAATCTATTGGAAAAAAGAAAAAAAAAAAGGTTCGCCACAAAAACCAAATCCTACCCTCAAACTCAAATGCCGCTTGTTCTTGAATCCACATCCATTGGAGTGGCAGATGAACGATTTGGTTGCGCAGCAGTCAAAGGAGCTTGGACCGTCAAACTGGACTGTCGGTAATTGGAGATTGCTGCATTGTTCGTTAATTGATTTGCGTTACCGGGAAATGCGCTAAGATGCATTTGTCTGATGGCATTAATATTCTGTGCCCCATTTGTTTGAATGTTTCCGACCATAGACGGCGTTGTGGGACGTTGACTATTGGCCGGTAAAATCATTTGACGACCTGAGGCGTTTGTATTGGGTATCATGTTTACCGAGCTTGTGCCGTTCGGAAGGATGTAATTATTGTGACGTTGAATGGTGTTAGGTTGAACATTTGCTTGGCGCGTCGCGGAGTTCGGTCGATTGACCTACCGTAGGCATTTAACGAAAATACTTTTAGATTATTATATTGAAAATCAATAAATAATGAAGTCAAGGGCAAACCATGAATAAGTCCTTTTCCGTCACTTACCATATTGTTGATCACCACGTTCGACTGATGAACTGACTGCGTCGCCAATGTCGGATTAGTGGCGTGTCTTATGACTGGTGTTGAATCACCACTCTGTTGCTTCAAGTGTCGATTAAGATAAAAAACGATTGTGAATATTTAATGCGCAGATTTAATTTGCTGCTGAACAGAAGATGATCATCGGTGACCTACCATATTTGATGATGACACATTAGCATTGCCTACCGATGAATGTCTCATTATAGACGTCACACTACCATTCACCTGTTGTACGTAATTCACATTTATACCAATAAGTTAATCATCATCTCAAGTTTGGAATGTATTCTGGAAGTGGATTCAGTGAGTCGAATAAACATACCATATTATTGACATTGCCGGAAACAGGTACAAATGATGGTGAGCCGTTGGAGACGCTCATATTCACTTGTCTAACAACCGAGTTAGGCACATTTCCCGACGGAACAGTTTTCTGTCGCAGGTTGACCGAACCATTGGCTGTCACTATGCTGTGAGTCTGTTGTTGCGATGCATTTGAAACGGGTATCGTCTGCATTTGCAACCGATCAGAGCGACCTTGAACCGATATGTTTTGTCTAATAACCCCATTGGTGGAACCATTTCCTTGCGATAAATTATTCGTCGTACCATTAATATTAGAAACCATAGTTTGTATAGAATTCTGATTTGGATTTGAACCCTGGGTTTGCCTCTGGGTTGGGCTTCGAGGCTGATTACTGTTCGGACTACAATTCGATGTTTGATTTTGTCCGGTGGTCATTTCCTGTTGTCGTTGATCCTGTCGCAGCATAAGAAGTCGACGCTGTATATGACTTATGGGTGAATTTGAATCTTGTGGTGATTGTGTAAATTGTTCACTCTGAACTCCCATATTTGGGCGCGACGTTTGAAGATTTAGTGGAGAAGACTGAAGTTGTCCACCGCTCACAAAGGCCGGTGAACTCACGGATTGAACCTGGCCACCATTTAAAAATGCTCCGCTTACTAAGGTCGGTTGCCCATTCAACATTACCACTCGAGGGCCAATATTAATATTGGAATTGTTTATCTTAGAGGAATCTATTAATTGACTTGAGCTATTTATCATCATCGTCGGAGACGATTGTGCGTGTTGTGCAACTGCAGGATCCACCATCATCACCCCTGTATTTGACGCGGTTCGCGACACGCTATTGGTAGATGCAATCATTAAATTATGGTTGCTCATAAGCATCGAGTTGGAGGAAGTGCGTTGAAGTCTTCTCGGGTCGATAGCCTGACCGGCATTCATGACGGCCCCCGGATTGGAGCCTGAACGTGATAGAGTAGCTCCGGTCATTGGAGAGACAACCTGCAGATTGTTACTCATGACAACACCCGGGTTCGAACCAGAACGCGTGAGAGCGGTGCCATTCATTGGGGAGACCACTTGACTGACGCCTCCTATGACCATCCCCGCCCCTGGGTTTGAGCCAGTTCGTGAGAGTCGGGAGCTATTCATCGGCGTAACCGCCTGACTGGTAGCATTAAAAATCAAATTTTGGTTGGAAACAGACTGCGATGGGACCGATCTCTGCCTCGGCGTAACCTGAGTTTGAATCTGAACGACTGAAACTGGGACGACGGATCCCTGGTTCGTCATGTGCATATTCGGAGAAACCAAATTGCCAGTATTGCTGGACAACACCGAAGCATTTCTCGCATTTGGAATTTGGGTAAGGTGATTTGCAAGAGAAGCTATTGTCGTGGAATCCTTGGACACACGGGCGTTCCTTAGATTGTTCCTATAAGGTACCGCGCTGTCACGGTGATTTGCTGAGATCGAGGGACGGACGGTGTGGCCATTGTGAGCAAGATTTGCTCGAGGATCTATGTTAGACCTCGGTGATTCGGAGCTCAGCCGTTGATCCCCATTCGGGCTCTGATCTGAGGTTGAACGCTGATCCCGACCACTGAACGGAACACCGTTTATGAGCGTTTCTCGTATGTTGGCTGGATCTGAAGTCGAGTTCTGACCGCGACCAGTTATCTGATTGTTGATGTTTAATCGTGGAGTTGTTTGATTTCCGTTGATTTGTTGCTGATCTCTCTGAATGGCAACGTTGTTAAAGGTGCGAGGGTCAACGAACGCACGTTGATCGTTCGCAGTTTGTGTATCAATGTTCGATGGAGTTATGCGACCATTAGAATCACGTTGGACAGAATTTATCCGTGAATTCATGGCGTTATTATCAAAATTTGAACGAGATGAAGAAGGTCTTTGGTCGACGCTCCTGAAATCGAGGTTGGATCTTTGCAATATGTTTGCCGAGCATTGATCAATCTCCATGGAGGTGCGTGAATCACTGTTCGCTCGATTCTCTACTCGCATTTCGCCGTCAGGATTAGGTCGAGACTGTGAAACCTGAATGGATGTTCTATTATCGACATTCAAACGATTTTCCGTGCTCGACTGAACCAGGAGATTGCCGTTGCCGTTTCCACCGGAATGACCGTCATCCCTTATTATCTGATGTTTCGGTGAACTTTGTTTGTCCTTTGGAGATTTGATGATTGAACTAAGATTCTGGTAGTCTTCGTCCGTTAACAAACGCCATATAATGGAACTGTAAGAAACAAAAAGAGTTCTTCAGAAATTGGCGAAATGATTTTCAAGATTAAATGAAACTGAAAGAAATATGAAAGAATTTACTTTTCACTTGTTATCATCTTATCATCTTCGCAAACTTCCTCATCATCACACTCCATTTGCGATGCGTCATCATCACTGAAGGCATCATCCTCCTCGTCGGAATCATATTTAAATTTCCAATCAGCCTCTTCTTTTATGCAACGAAATCTAAAGACCTCAAGTCGATCAAGAACACATCTCCTACGACCACCACGACCACAGCGACTTCTAAACGCATTTTCTGAATAAGGTAATTTTCTGTAGTAGGTGGTCGCCATATTTTTGAAAGTAGAAAGATACGGATACTTTTTGTTGAAAAACATAAACGTTAATTAAACATTGAGACCTTGAAAAGTGATTTTTCATGAGTTGTATGATGCTCACATCCGTAACATCAGTCATTTGAATATCACCATCTTTTTTTGTGGACTTGATAGAATTTTTTCGAGGTTGGCTGACATTGCAAAATTGATCACGTTAGGGACGATGAAAGCATCACGATTATCGGGATGAATAAAGAAAAAAAAAGTTTTTTTTTTTTTCAAGATTTGTAACATACCCAAAGATTTCGGCTTGTGAAGTGGAGATCTTTCGGTTCTTGGTCTGTCAGAGAACAACGTCGTCAACAACAAATAATAAGCGCAACGTGATTCGGAAATAAGCGAACACAAACCTTTTGAGAATGTTTCTTGATTCCCAATTCTCTTTGCATATCCTTAATCTTACATTCCATAATAAATACCTTTCGATTGACCTCTATCTTTTGTTTCTTAACTTTCTCTCGCGTTTGCACCTGAACCACTATCTCCCGACCTGACTGAAGATCGATCCTTATGTTTTTCAATTTATCAAATGATTGAGCCTCGGTCCGACGAGTCCTTCTGACCGGCCTCAGCTCACGACGACGGAAACATATATATGCATCCTCCTCATCTTCTTTCTTTGTCTCGACTGTCTGTGATGATGATAAGAGAAGGTTAATTCCGATAGTGAATAAGATCGGTGCGTTAGGCCTGAAGACGAAACCGATCGGTTCTCATATCCCAAAGGGAGATGTGTAAACGTCCGACATATCGTCGCACAAAGCAAGATCAATTTTCACAGTTATGAGAATCAATCAAGTTTACGCAGGCCTTAACTTTCCACGTTCACATGAGTTCGAAATTGTTGAAATCACATCACCAACCTTTATCTCGTGCATCAAAGGACCAACTTTTTTATAACGAACCATGTAGGACATCCTCTTCGCTTTCCAATATGTATACACATTCTCGGCGTCCTTTGCATGCGGTATCAACTTATCAGAAAGTTTTGAGCAATCTTCCCACATTGGCAGCTTCTTCTCGGCCTATCACGTAGAAACGAAACATCCGCAATCAGCATAATTCGGATGGTCATTTAGAGAATATAGAAAAAGAGGTAAGCTTACCAATAAATAGGGCTTCTTCTTCGCTATCCTTTCAAAGAAATCTATGATCTCTTCAAAAGGGTCCTCGTCGAGATTATTTCCCTCTTTTGAGTTATATTCCTGTAACCATTTCTCATCGGCATCATCCATGTTGTATTCACAACCGATGCACTCTTCGATCGGCGTAGAGAATTTTCGGTACGTTTTTGATTGTTTGAAATTTGGTTCAAAATAGGGTTCCCTTGTTTGGTCGCCACTACCAGTTTCCGGACAAGGAATACCCGGTTTCGTGTCTTCTTGTTCCGCGCGTTCTTCTTTGGACACCTCATTTTTTTCAATCATTTTGTTTTTCCTTTCCACCAAAGTCTTAAAATGGAGTTCCTGTAGATTTATGGTCATGTGATGAAAAGGAATGCGTTGGTTAAAGTGGGTGTTTCAGCGAAGGGTCGTCACGAAACAAGCATGTGACTATAGTGATGACATAATCATCACAATACGCCGCAGCAGTACTGTGCGCCAGATGAGAAATTTGCAAGAGACAGAGACAAGCGAAAACATAATTTTTTTTTAAGGTGGGAGGCACGCTTTATTCACACAAGTGAAGTACACTTTGAAATTTAAAGGTTCGTGAGGTAGATTAATTTTTAATTAAGAACTTACTTCATCCTCCCCCTTTTCAATTCCGGTGACCACTTCAGGGTTGTCTCTATTAACGGTCGGAAAAGCTTCTTCGTCAACTTCGTACCATAAAAAAGTAAGCATACCCTTCTTGTTGTCTATCTTCCTTGGACGAAATTGCATACGGCTAAAATTGCCGTTTGCGTTCGCTTTTATTAATGACATCATGACATGTGTCGTTGTAAGTTAAAATTATTATATTTGTTGGGTTGGTTTTTTTCAGTAACCGTCGTTTTGAAAGGGTAAAGGTTTGGGTCGTGAGGAAAAACGATTTGTAAATTGGTAGGATGTTTATTGACGATTACTAGTAACTTTTGTCTTTAAAAATATTATATTTGTCGCCTTTAAACTTCGGCTTGAATTTATTTTAATAGCTTTTTTTCGTTTGTCATTAGCAGGGTTCAAAGTCTGCAAAAAAAAAAAACGGTGTAACCAAAATGTACCCCGTTTCTGAGTAGTTCAAGAGTTCATTGGCTGCAAGATACGGCAATGTGACACAGTATTATGGTGACGATTTAGTGTACGGTCACAGCACAAAAATATCGAATATCGGGGTACTAAAAAGTGAGAGCCCTTATCTATCAATCGACGCACGCGGAATAAATGTCGTCCATTTCAGTAAACGAAACGATCAATTATAATATGATAACAATAGCAACAAAACGAAGCAGCAACAGCAGCAATGTATGGTTTGAGGACAAGAATAACCCAAGAGTAATTAATGAACGAATTATTCTTCGGCTCGCGAAGATCATGTGACCGTTCTTGCAAATAGAAGTTTTAAGATTATGCGATGCCGCTGCAAAAGACGAACGAAAAAAACACCGAGACACACAATACTTACCACCATCATTTTGAGGAGTAAGGTTTATTTTTGCGAGTATGGTGTAAACCATGTCAATTTTTGGATTTCCTTTTCATTATCCAGATCTTTGGTTCGGTGTGGATTTTTACCGGCACCAAAGAATCCAAGGTTTCTTTCATGCGACAGAAATCAATATTGAGGAAATTTCGTAGGTGACGACCTGGATTTCGAAATTGAACTCGAGAATAACCGTTCACAACGTCAAGGGTCTCGAAGGTTTCGTTATGTGCATCAGGATCGGAAGTCAGGAGATGCGTGTAGTGCAGGTAATCTGCGGGCGAAGAGTGTGTCTCGACTTTGTAATACTTCCAGTCATTACGTAACTGTCCAAACCGAGAAGCACCAGTCATCGCCGTGTAAACGTCGAGATGAACGCGAGCTGCGACACCGCCAAAAAGAGCGATCAAAAGAAATGATAAACAATAGCAACTATAAAGGAAATAATACGTCGAGGAATTGCAAAATACGCGCTCACCTTGTGAATAGTCCTTTTGTATCACATGTATTTTTTGCAAAGCCACACCGCCAGGATAGTTGAGACTTGAAATGAGCATAAAAGCCGTGCTCGACAAGAAGCATGTCAAGAGAAGAATGATGGTCAAGCGATTGAGCAGTGTGAATCCTTTCCGTCGTCTGCCACATGAAAAAAGAAATTAGTACAAACTGCATCGACACATGATTCGCTTTCGGGGCCGATAATGCTTACATCCACACCCATCCAATGGCAGCGCACACATTAAAGATTGGTACCACGTAGACGATAAAACGCCACTCTTTGTGTTCAAGTCGGGAAAATCCGAGTAGATAGGCAAGCATGGGCAACAAGAATCTTCGGGCACGCGCATCAACAAAGACCGAAAGTAAACTCAACGGGCCTGATGTTAGGAGAAGTCGTGGAAGAAACGAGGTGAAATATGCGTGAAAAGGTAAAACCTTTGGACGAAAATAATTTGTTTAAAAAAAAAAAGGATTAATATAACAAACTCAAAATAAAAAGTTTTTGAACATACGTACTCCCCACTCAACACTCTTTCCTAAAATAGCATTAAAATAGAAGACAGATCCTTCTGGCCACGTCAACTTTTGCCAAAAGTAAGAATCGATTGCTACAGACAATACTACAATAAATAATAATCGAATGAATTAACAAATTGGCTCCCTGTTGTGATATCATGTCGGATTCTTTTCTTTCTTTCGGAGGGTTATTTTTTTTGCCACAAAAAAAAACGATCTAGAATACCTACCCAAACTCAAAAACGCCGTACATGACAGAACCTTTGCGGCATCAAAAATTTTTAAATTTCCTAAATACAATTCCCAAAGTAAAATTGAGGCTAGCAGTATGATTAATTCGAATCTAAATATCACCATGGCAAAAGTCATATATCGGATCATCGATAGTAGATTTTTGTTGGGAGTAGTGGAGGAAGAGGCCGAGACCCAACGAGAAAACGAAATAATCACTATTGGGAAACACTATTTATCGTTAGACGTGAATCATAAAGATGTGTAATTGCGGTCGGACGATTAATTGATTACCTAGCGGGAACGCAAAAATATTTGGCAGCGTTCTGCTGACCCAGAATATGGTGTGGAATTGACACGCACTTAATATACCAAAGGCGACAGAAATCTCTTGTCCAAATGATTTGGATATCGATGAGCGAAGCTCAGAAAGAGCAAAAATTCCAGCTAGACCGAGATATAAGCGTACTGAAATATAAAATAAATATGATATCATGTCGATATATATGTATCTCTTTATCAGTCTAACAGAAACCCACCTACATATTGACGGAGGAATTTGTCAAAGTCAGGTAACAGTATCTCTAGCGTCTTGACGGTGGGCCAACTAGCCCCGCTCAAGAGTAAAGGCCCAACAAAGGTGCGAGGAACGACACCCGGAAACTCGAAATGGTCAAACTATTCGAAACGAAACAATAAGATAAAATTCCCAAGAGACGTTTGTTTTTGCTAGGGAAACTAAAGAAGTACTTGTTCCAAGGACGTTGGGCTTATTCCATATTCTATAATGTCGTGAGTTGCTTGAAGGTTGAAGCTTTCTTCAACTTTGGTAAAAGGACAAAGCACGATATGCATTGTCACCAAGAAACACAGGAAAAGGTCATAGTTGTCCATATTTTACTGTTTCTCATGTGTAGCCGGAATTCTAAATTTCACAAGATTTTTCCTAACAAATTTTCTTTGATTAAAAAGAAGAATTGAAAAAATCTAACACAGGGATTTTCCTCTTAGTTTATTCTCAAATCGGATAGCCTTATATACATGTGGCTTAGGTCGCGTGGAGGTTATCCAATAAATTTGGTAGACACTATATTACCATTGAATCGGAATTTCTAAATCAAATGTGTTTGATAGGACGAGTATGAAAAAAGCAGTATATCTTATGGAATGGCAATGAATGATGAAACTCTAGACCAATTACAAGAAGGCCATTCTCGTGCTCATTGTAAAAACATTATTTGTTTTTTCGTCAAATAAAAACATTGTGATCCGAACTCGCCCTTGGACAGGCGTCAAAATATTGTAAAAGTTTCCGGTAGGAACATGTCCTGAACAATGGGCAATCGTTTACTAGTGCTTGCAGGTTGATATAACGCTGATTTAACCATCAATATTTAAGTTGATACATAAAGTAATTAAAAAAAAACAAGGGTACAGTAGATCAAATTACATTTACGTACGGTGTATATTGTGGTTACAATGATTTTCAAGTATACACGACCCAGAAAAAGTAACCAGACGGTTTACCTTCGAAACATGTCAAGCTGTTCACCAAAAAAACCCTTCCCAACGAAATTCAGATCAAAGATTTCACGTTGTAAAGATTCAGTTCATCCCATCCTTTGAATTTTTAAGCCTTAAACAATTCTTTCGTTTTATCTTACTTTTTTAATTAACAAACTTGTTGAGCATGACGCTTGTTTATCAACCTGACTCGGCGGCTGTGTAGTCGGAAGATCCTATCATCGATTGGATAGGATCTATTCGGAGGAAAAAACAAATAACCAACCATATTTCATATTTTTTTGCGAAATGGCATTATAAAAATTTTTTAATTTTTAATTTTTTTTTTTTTTTTTTACGTACAAATCTAACTAACTCATCGTAGGCACAAAAAATCTTTAAGTTTGACCTTGGGAACTCCATAATAGAGACTCTCCTAAATTATACATCGCCACTGGCAGATTGTTACTGCTAATTATACTATCAAGTCATTGGAATGCAGGAAATTACACAAGGGGGTTGAAACAAAGGAAAAAAAATTATACAAGTACATTAAAAGAAAATAAGAAAAAAAGATATATAGTATATATGTATATTATTCAGTTTTTTCAAAAACTTGTACTTCTTAATAAAATTTGTCAATTGGGATTCTAACTATTTAAGAAATTTATTTATTCTTAATCTTAATGTTTTTTCTCATATATCATTTAAAAATTTATTATTTTATAGGAATTTTTACTATTTTTTTCTAAGTCAGATTTAAGAAACAGTATTTTACTTATCTGTGAAATTAATAAATAATCTTTATCTATTAGGTTTATTATTAACAGTTTATTACTATAGATTGCTTATAAACTATAAATTTCTAAATAAAGGGAAAAGAGAAAAAAAAAATTTGAGAAAGACAAACAATTTAAGGTCCTATTAAAAAAGTCCAAAATGAAAGCAATTTTCTTCACAAAAGGGATCTGCTTGATTGGAATAGTTTTTTTGCTTCTCTTAAGCCTCAGAAAAAATCATCTTTGTTATTACTTATGATATTAAATAAATCAATTCAACTGGTTTTTCATTTAAATAAATATCGAATTAGGATATCTTAAGAAAAATATTTAGACTTTAACTTTTGTTCATTAAAACTTTGACACTATCCAAGAAGCTTAGAGAAAAGATAGGAATTTACAATCCATATTACTTATCTCTTAATCTTTTGATATCATGAATATCTTCCTTAAAGAACTTGAGTTTCTGAAAAGTGAACATTTTAAGAATATTTTTTTCAATTACTAATAATATTATTGAGACATGTAAGAGTGATCAATAGAAACTTGTTTATATTTTAAAAACTAATATATTTTATATTAATCAATTATCTTTAATAAGAATTTGTATTATCTAAAATTCAAAGTCAAACTGAGATAGACAAAATTCTCTAGAAAACCATGAAAATAGAAGTTTTAAAAGAGCCTTGACAGTCAGAAAAAGAGAAAATAAACCTTTTTACTATAACAAAATCTCTATAATCTCTTGCTTCAAAGATTAAAAAAGTCTTCAAGTATTTCACAATCAGTTTTTCTTTTTTTTGAAAACTTTTTTGCTATTGATATCAAAGATATTACTTAATTTTTCTTAATCATTAGAAGGCAAGTTTTTGAATAAAGAGGTTTGCCTGATTGGGATATTCTCTAAGCTTCATAATATTTGAGAAACTTAACTATTCTTGAAAGTGACTTCAAAAAGAATGTTTGAGGAAATTGTTCTTCTGTTGATATACAGATTCGCTTAATCTATTGAAGCCAACACCATATTATAGAAGAGTTTACCTGACTGGAATAAAGAAATCTTTTCAAGAACTTTGCCTGATCAGAATAGAAGCTTGAAAACCCCAGCTTTTGTTCAAGAAAGCCTTTTCACTATTTGAGAAACTTAGTGAGAAGTAGGAGTTGGATCTTCTTTTCTGCTTATCACTTGCCTTTCAGTATCATAATTGTTTCCTGAAAATTGAACTTGCATAATTGGAGGGAATACTTTTTCTAGAACTTTCCTTTTTACATCACTAATGATATATGAAAACATATGAGTAGATCAATAGGAACTTGTTTACATTTCAAAAACTGACATGTTTCATGTCAGTCAATCATCTTTGGTAAGGATTTGTGCTACTCAAAATTCAGGATCAGACTGAGGTAGGCAAAATTTTCCAGAAAACCATGAAAATAGGAGCTTTAAAAGGGCTAAGATAGTCAAAAAGGGAGAAAATAAGCCTTTTTATTGCAGAAAACCTCTATAAACCTCTCACTTCAAAGGTTAAAAAGACCTTCAGATACTTCACAATCAGTTTTTCTTTCTTTAAGAACTTTCTTGCCATTGGTAACAAAGGTGTTACTTGACTTTTCTTGGTCACTAGAAGTCAAGTTTTTGAGTAAAGAGGTTTATAAACAATAGGAA